GCAACAAGAACACAGGACACACAGTTTACTCTGCAACAAGAACAGTCGACACAGTTTACACTGCAACAAGAACACAGGACACACTGTTTACACAGCATTATTACAAAGAGCGTGTCATGTATGTAAACACAAGTAGACAAATGCAGGATAAATTCTGACAGACGTTCTACTGGGTGTGGTATAATAACAGGTCTTTTAACAGACATTTCAACAGGTATTCTAGCAGACGTTCTACTTGGTGCTCCTACAGATGTTGTACTAGGTGTTCTAAAAAACGTTTTCATAGGTGTTCTGACAAACAATGTAATGGGTGTTCTGACACATGTTCTAACTGCTGTTCTAATGTGTGTTCTAACAGTATTAAGGAGTTCTTACTCTCTGCTGCACCAGCAGGTGTTTGTTCTCCAGTTCTTTTCTTTTTGCAGAACAATTTGCCGACAGCTGCGATAGCTAAGGAACAAACAAAAACACCATGGATAGAACGGAAACACAAAGGTCAAAGGTCAAGCAGAACTTTAACTCAGTGAAACACGGAGGTCAGAACCTGTGCCCCCATGGTCTTCATGGTAGGTTCCAGGTCTCTCAGCAGGTCGAAGCCCTGATGGAAGAAGGTGAACTGAGCGTGCACAAAGGAGAACACCTGAAGAACAGCAAACAGGTGTCGGTGTGAACGGTTCCTGATTCAAACATCATTTCCAGAAACACAGACTTTAGTATCTTGACACAAACAACAGAAACTGAGGAACTGTTTTGTATTTGTTCCTGTCTGTTTTAGTTCTAAATGTGTTTTAAGCTTCCAGCAAGAACACAGATCTTCAGTAACGACTCACAGAGTTTAGAACGTCGATCTTCTGCTGAGTCTTAAAGGAGTTGAGCTGAAACACAAAACAGTTCTGATCAGATAATCTGCAGTGCTGGACATGTTCTTCTCAGGTTCTGCTGGAGGTTCTGGGTGGTACCTGCAGACAGTAATCCAGGGCAAAGTGTTGGGAACATTTTCGTGTGGCGAGCAGCAGGTGACTCGCCCGCTCCGCCTCCACAGATTTATGTCGCGACACCTGGGCATTCTTCACCGCTGCCGTCTCCAGATCCTCCCTGATCCGAACAAACTCCTTCTTGGTCTCCGACAGTTGAGGGAGGAACCTGGAGACACAAACACCAGCATCAGAACACTAGGTGGACCCTGAGGTCAGACTCTGAGTCCAGGTGCACCCTCAGGTGGACTTGGAGCGACTCACTGTGAGCAGAGGTTGGTGAGCTGCTGGCTGATGGCTCTCTGAGTCTGATCCAACAACATCTGAGGAGCAGAGACATCGGGTCAGACTGGTTCTGAAACCACATTGGTCAAACAGAAGAACGAACTCACGGTGTGGAAGTTCAGCATCTCCTGCAGGCCCTGACTGAACTGGTTCAGGCAGCTCTGACAGGCAAGAAACAGGAAGTCAGAAACAATAACAGAACAGGAAAGTATTGTTACAGGTCAGAGGTCAGCTGGACCCACAGAACAGCTCCTGTAGAACCAGAACTTGGTTCTGTTGGTTCTCAGATCGAAACAGCTGCTGCTGAAACAAATCCAGGTTGTTTCTAATGAGGTTCTGCTTTGGTTCTACAGAGAACCAGAAGGTACGTCCTCTCCATGGAGCTTCTCACCATGACGACTGTGTCCTTCTTGTGGTCCACGAAGAGCTCAGCCAGGCCACTCAGGAACACCTGATTGGCTGAGTTGTACGCTTGCCCCGCCTCCACCATTTGTCCACACAGCCTCATCACCTGATTGGTCGGAGACAGAGGTGAGTTTTCTTCAGGTCACAGGTCAACAGATACACTAAAGGTGATTATTGTCAGGACGTTTACAGAGACGAGGCGCTGCTGAAACATCTGGGAGGTATCAACCAGCCACAACATTATGACCACAGTGGACTGGTTACCGTGACAACAGTCAACACTTAACTGATTGAAACAGGAACGGTTACCTTGTTTAGTTGCGCTTCCACCAGGGAAACATCAGCCTCGAACTGATCCAGGGTCAGTCTGAAAGCAGAGAAAATGACAGTCTGACATTTTACAAAACATATAATCAACAAAACTGTTCTACCTTCGTAAAACATTTAAACTAAATTTAAAAAAAGTATATAGAAAATGATCACTGAGTTGTTTTAGTTTGAGCTCCTGTGTTTCCTGTAAACCTGCCTCACCTCCCCCATCAGTCAGGGAACAGGTCTGCATCACATTGTTTCCCTGTAAATAAAACATGTTATTTACAGGCGCGTGTTCCTCACCTGAACTCAGGTGAGTCTTTAATACACTCCTCAAAGTCCAACAGGGGGTCCATGACGTCACTCAGCAGCCCGTCTGTTAATGTCACCGAGCGAAGGTATTAATAAAGTTTATTCATCTTCCTGGGCTGACCGTTAGTTAGCCTGTTAGCTCGGCAGCAGCGGAGTTCTCTTTAAACAGAAACTCTGCCCGCGCGGATCAACCGGACACGCTCCGGATCAGCTCGCATTCCGGCCCGGTTCCGAAAGGACTGGAGATAAACGGTGTTTATGTTTATTGTTTGTTACGGTGACAGCTGTCTCCGCATCTCGCTACAGGCTCAGAAATCCGGTTTAGTTTGGCGCCGATCCAACCACCGGAGAGACAGCGACGCCCGGCGGGCCGGAGAGGTACTGCACCCACTGGACTGACGTGACAAAATGTAATAAATACATCATGAAATAAATAAATGTCAAATGTCCAGACAAACAAATGCTAAATGGACTGTGCTTATAGAGCACCTCTCTTCTCAAAGCTCTTCATTCAACCTGTATTTACACAGGTTAGTCACGAGGACCCATCGTACAGCCTGTTCAGTGAGCAGTAAACTACTTAACACCAAGGTCACAGAATATCCTGATGCATGCTCAATAATCCAGGTAGAAAAATCTTATGCATATCAGAATATGCATTAGGTTTATAACAGACTATATTTGGTTTGGTGCATATTTAACTGTATGGTGGCAAAGTAGGACCCCCAAAACATCCTGCTGAGACCCCAAATGTCCAGGTCTGGCCCTGAGCACATGAAAGAATGTCGAAAATATAAAAATTAAATTATACGTTGATAGCCTAGATCCAACCACCAGGGAGACAGTGCCAACCACACGGCTCCCCATTTTCCTGCACAGTGGACCCCAAGTCCTTGAAGTTCTGCACCTTTGTGACCTCTGCTCCTTGTAGCCTCACTGTTCCACCTCCTCCCTCTCATTCACACGTTATCTGTCTTACTATGGCTGACTTTTCTTTCCTCTTCTTTCAAGTGCATACCTCCACCTCTCCAAGTTCTCTTCCACCTGTTCCCTGTTCTCACCACAGATCACAATGTCATCTGCAAACATCATAGTCCACGGGGATTCCTGCCTGACCTCATCTACCATGTTGTTGTTTACTATATTTATCACTTTTTGATACTTTATTTTGTACCCTTATTACATGCTTTATTATTTCTTCTGTTTTTAGCGAGTCAAATCAATTCTTCTCATCCTGAACATTTCATTGCACTGTTGACCTGCATCAACAAAATCTGATAGTCGGTCCATCACCAGAGCAAACAAGAAGGGGCTCAGAGTCGATCCTTGATGCACTCCCACCTCCACCTTGAAGCTATCTCACCCCTACAGCACATCTCACCACTGTCCTGCTGTCCTTACATGTCCTGTACCAGTCCAACTGTCCTCAGCTGGATCTGCATAGACCGATTCAACATGGTGTCATTTAAATGAACTTGCATGTTAGTTTTGGAAAATGTTTTATGTCAGATGCACTTCCTGACCCAACCCTCAGCATTTACCCGGGCTTGGGACCCACTCAAGAGCCACTATCTTGTGCTCCCTGTTGGCTCATTTTTAAATGTGGAAATTGAATTATATTAAATAAAAGTAAAATAATATTTTTAAAAAGCTAAAAGTTTTACATAAAGAGCAGAGAGCAAAAGTGAAGAAAAGGTTTTTATTAGAAAAAGCGACATGAAGAGGCCTGAACAGCTGGTCTGGTTCTGTTTAGCTGCTTCTGATGATAAAGACGATGCTGGCTGGTTCTGGTTCTGATGATGCTGGCTGGTTCTGATGATAAAAATGATGATGGTTCTGATGATGGTTGGGCTCAGTGGTCAATAGAAACCAGGATCACAGTGACGTTGTCGGCGCAGCCTCGCCTCACCGCCTCGCTGGCCAACTGCTGACAAGCTGCTTCAAAGCGAACCTCCTGGTCCGTCAGACTGGCCTTCGGCTCAACGCTGTCCTCCTGCAGGACCAAGAACCAGTCCAGGTTTAATCACTACTGTCTGCCGGGACAGGATTAAAGAAACCAGAACCTAACGGTTGTATCCTACCTGGAGGACGCCGAGGACGAACTTCACAGTTTCATCAGCTGAAAACACTTTGAACAAACCGTCACAGGCCAGAATGATGAAGCTGAAGACAAAAGACAACAGAGACAACAGAGACAGAGACAACAGAGACAGAGTTAACAGAGATTAGCTTTAGACAACAGCTCAATCAGGTTTTTGGAGATGTTTCCTGCAAAAGTCTGAACCGTTTGGACTGAGTTTGTCTCTTACATCACAGACCAACCTGAGCTCTAACCAGAGCTGTAGCCCCGCCCCTCTCCATTTCAGACACTTAGTGCAAACAAGTTTACAAAAAAAGAAAACCACTAAAACTCCGTCTGACCAATCAGCTTTGAGGGTCGGTCTTCTTGCCTGTCATTGGCTGTGAGCTGACACCGCCTGATGTCCGGCGTTGAAATCACTCCGCAGCGTTTGTACTGACCGTCCCCGATGGACCGAGACACCTCGAGGACACCGAGCACCCGGCCGTCCCTGTCCACAGACACATAGTTAATGCTAGCTGAGTAAGGACATGAATGTCTGTGGAGGACAGATGTTCAATGGGACATCTCTGAGGACTAAATCCACCTGACGGTCCCTCCTGATCTCTGGATCCTCATGCGCTCCTCGTAGATGGTGGGGTTGTGTTCCTTACTGAGAGCCAGAGTCAAAGACTTCTTCTGTCCGTCCTCTGCTGTCTCCGTCCTACACATCACAGCCTGCAGAGACGGAGACACAGAAAGACACTCCGTCAGATGTCCATACTCCTCCTCAGGACTGATTCAGGAACTGTTTACCGCCCAGCTCACCCTGCTGTCCCCCAGGTTGGCCACGTACACCATGTCGTCCACCACCAGGAGACAGGTGGCCGTGGAGCCGTCCTTCCACGACGGCTTCCTGTTCAGAGAGACACCAGAGAGGTTCCTGAGGTCTAAGGGACAGCACTGATGTTACACAAGTCTATGAGGCTGAAGACCAGAGTTTGGTTCTCAGGTGAACTCTTGTCTTACTGGCTGGACGCCTTCTTCAGGAAGTCTTCGTCCGTCTGCCGGAAAGCGTCCAATAAACACTTCTTTATCAGCTTGTCTTCATTTTCATTGTCTCCTGGAACAGAAAACCGTCCATCAGGAGACAGTTCCTCAAAGATGTTCTGGAGCAGGAAGCTAACGGGTTCATAATAAACAACAAACATCATCTAATTTAATAGATTTAATATGAATCAAAGAAAACCGGGTCAGGGTTCTGTAGGTCATGGTTTCTGTGGGTCAGGGTTCTGTGGGTCGTGGTTTCTGTGGGTCAGGGTTTCTGTGGGTCGTGGTTTCTGTGGGTCAGGGTTTCTGTGAGTCGTGGTTTCTGTGGGTCAGGGTTCTGTCGGTCAGGGTTCTGTGGATCAGGGTTTCTGTGGGTCAGGGTTTCTGTGGGTCGGGGTTTCTGTGGGTCGTGGTTTCTGTGGGTCAGGGTTCTGTAGAACTCACCAGAGGGAAACCTCTTGGCCAGGTTGAGGTGAAGATGCTCTGCGGCGTATTGAGACGCTCGAGCTCCTCCGTGTCCATCAAACACGGCAAAATACGAGATGTGAGACCTGCGGAACACACGGAGACACAGAGTTCATGTCCAGAAACCAGATTGTTATTAGTGTCTTAAGCCCGACCCGGTTCACAGCCTGAAACCAACTTTTATCAGACACTGGAGTACACCAGACCGTGGTTCTGGTACAGACTCCAGCTGTTGGTCCGATGTCGTTCAGTTTTACTCCGACTGTCCTCTGAAAACGATCAGGGACAAGAACTGACCTGAACTAAGACCAACAGAACATCTGGAGAACCGTAGATCACAGGAAGTCAGGATGTTTGGGGGGAAAACATGCAGAGCTGAGGACCGGATCAGAACTTTAGCAGAGTTCTGGAACAGGTCAGTGATGCAGGGTAAATCTGAGCAGAAGGACGGATGTCGGACGTCTTACACGTGTCCCGGTAGAGACGACAGACAGCAGCTCATGTCCGGCAGCAACACATGAGCGTCCTGCATCTCCTCACGCTCGCCCCGCCTCGCCGCCACGTAGCCTTTCAGCACGGGGAGGCCTGCAGGACACACAGACAGACAGATAGACAGACAGGCAGACAGAGGCCAGCTCTCTAACCAGATACTTCGTCGACTCGGCGTCTTGATGAGAGGAGGAGAAGCAGACAAACATTGTGGTGAACAGCTGAAAACCTTCTCTACAAACTCTCTTGATCTCCTCCTGCTGCTCCTCCTGGTCGCCTCGCCTCCGTTTGGTACGGGTCTCCTCCTCGTGGATGGAGCTTGGAGCGGAGCCTGATGAGGACAGAAGAAGTTTGCAGACTGATCATCAGTTCTTCTCTAACAACGATCTGCTGCTGACTGGACCAGAACTCTGACGATTTATTATGAACAAGATAAAAACACTCAAGCTTTTGTAAAATATGTTGATTCAATGATTTTTATTATTTAATGTGTGAATATTTACATTAATTACTATGATAGTGCAACTGATCTTTTTTTATTTTAGAGTAGGTGCATTACGCTCCAACGTTT